CAGCAGCAAAATGCCTATTATCAGTTGAAGATACAGTCTCCGATCAATTAGAAATGATGTGGAAGATAGAGGAAGTGCAACCGGCTTCAAAGTCATGGTCACCAGCACATGTTGCGTGTGAGTCATTATATCGTGAAACGGTCCACCAAAATGCGATGGGAAGAATTGTCGTTCGGTTACCATTCAAAGATTCGCCAGATTGTCTTGGTTTGACACACAATATCGCCTTACGCCGTTTTTGTTCTGTAGAACGGCGATTGTCATCTAATCGTGCACTGAAGCAAGACTATCAAGAATTCATGAAACAATATCGAGAGCTCGGACACATGACGCGTGTTGAGACTCCGAAAACCAACGAACCACATTATTATATCCCTCATCACTGTGTTTTAAAACCGTCGAGCACTTCGACCAAGCTGAGGGTGGTTTTTGATGCGTCATGTCCAACAACTTCGCAACGTTCATTAAATGATATGCTACTGGTCGGCCCGACAATTCAGCCGGAGTTATATTTGTTGCTACTTCAATTTCGTTTGCACCGATATGCCTTGACGGCTGACATTGTTAAGATGTACCGACAGATACTGATAGATGAACCAGATCGAAAATTCCAATATATTTTTTGGCGAGATACGGAGTCCGATCCTGTTAGTACTTACGAGTTGAATACAGTCACTTATGGTACTGCATCAGCACCTTTTCTAGCAACCAGGAGTTTGCAGTATTTGGCGGACAAATTTGAAACACAATACCCAATAGGCGCTGCACTCATTAAATCATCGTTCTTTGTCGACGACTTCTTAGGTGGAGCAGATTCCATTGATCAACTCACCAATATCAGACATCAGTTAACGGCCATTCTACAGAAGGGTTGCTTCGATCTTGACAAATGGCATTCAAACCATCATGACTTCATCAGCGATACTACAACAAAGAGTTTGAATCTTGATACAGATACAGTCACCAGCGCCCTAGGCATCAAGTGGCACCAAATGCAAGATGTTTTCCTATTTTCGTTCAATGCGCAACCAGGTCAAATTGTAACAAAACGCACCATTTTATCCCTTGCGTCTTCATTATTCGACCCGCTTGGATTACTAGCACCGATCATACTCGTAGCCAAAATTATGATGCAAGAATTGTGGCTTTTGCGTGTGGACTGGGACGAGTCAGTCCCTCAAAATCTTCACTCAGCTTGGAAAACATTTATTCAAGATCTTACAACGCTTTCATCGGTTAAGGTGCCGAGATACTGCCTATTCATAAACTATCAACAGGTTGATGTACACGGTTTCTGTGACGCTTCAATACGCGCATATGGTTGCTGTATATTTCTCCGATCACAAAACACATCAGGTAAGGTGACGGTCAGGCTATTCACTGCAAAATCCCGTGTGGCACCTATAAAGCGGAAGTCGCTACCTAAACTAGAACTCTGTGGTGCCTTACTTCTTGCCAAACTGTATCAGAAGGTCCAACCAATATTTGCGCAATTTAAGGGTGAAACGTTTTTTTGGACTGATTCACAGATTGTATTACATTGGTTGAAGCAGCACTCATCAACCCTGTCTGCATTCGTTGGCAATCGAGTAGCGGAAATTCAAGATATTACCGCAAATGGGCAATGGAGACACGTTCCTACCCAATCCAACCTGGCAGATGTTGTGTCGCGCGGCTGTAACATCCACCAATTAACAGAGTCTTGTTGGTTCACGGGGCCGGAGTTTTTGTTACTCGCTGATAAATACTGGCCGCATTTGAAATGTCACAACCTGGATATGGAAGAATTCAATAAAGAGACGCGAAAGGTTGTATTCGTTAACACAAATGAAGACAACTACGTATTACAGGTATTGTCAAGATATAGTTCATACACTAAAATGCTACGAGTATAGCGCAGGTACAGCGATTCTATCATGTAACCAAGAATAAATTGGAGAACGGAGAATGTACCCTCCAACCTATTCAGCTACAAAAGGCATTGCACTGTATTATTTGGGTCATCTACAGCAATTCTTCGAAATTGATATACAACGCCTACAACGAGGGAACCCAGCCGAAGGTACATTAAAGCATCTAAATCCCTTCCTGGACAATGTATTTGGTTATCAATTAGTAAAGGTGGGAGGTCGTCTCGAGCTGAGTGACATCTCAGCAGGCCAACGTCACCCTATTTTGTTGCCGAAGGGCTGTTATTTTGTGGAACTTTATGTTCGGCATGTACACTTGTGCAGCTATCATGCAGGCGCAAAGGCACTAATTGCCCTTACTCGACTAAACTTCTGGATAATTAATATTCGAGAAATTGCACGCCGAGTCGTGCACTCGTGTATTCACTGCGTGCGTTATAAACCCAAACTACTTAATCAAATGATGGGTAATCTCCCAATCGAACGCCTCACTCCAAGTCGTCCATTCGCGCGTATAGCGGTAGATTTTTGCGGTCCGATATTAACGTATCTCCGAATTCGGGGACGGGTTCCATATAAGACCTATATAGCCGTGTTCGTTTGTTTGTCTACAAAGGCAGCTCATCTAGAAGCCGTGTCAGACTTATCTACGGAGGCATTTATTGCAGCACTGAAAAGATTAATCGGTAGACGAGGGCTACCATCAGACATCTATTGCGATAACGCCACAAACTTCGTTGGGGCTAAAAACAAACTAGCAGAATTAAAAAGGATGTTTTTCGAGAAGTCTGATCAAGTGATGCTGCAGACCTTTTGCAGCAACCAATTCATAAATTTCAATTTTATACCGCCCCGAGCACCTCACTTTGGAGGTCTATGGGAAGCGGCTGTAAAAAGCGCGAAAGGCCATCTGTATCGAACACTATCAAATACTCGATTCACCTTTGAGGAGCTTGGAACAGCACTGATTGAAATCGAAGCCATCTTAAATTCGCGACCAATCACACCTCATTCTTGTGACCCGAGCGATTATGAAGCGCTAACGCCGGCACATTTTCTTATCGTTGGGCCGCTCAAAACTTTATCTGAACCAAGTCCTCAGTATGAAGCTGCTTCATTAATTGATAAATGGTCTCGTATAACCGCAGTCAAACATCACTTCTGGCGCAGATGGTCTAGAGACTATCTGAATGAGCTGCAGATACGCACCAAATGGACAGAAGAACAATCTAACATCACCGAGGGGGCTCTGGTTCTAATCCATGAAGACAATATGCCTCCACAACGCTGGTTGATGGGCCGAATCGTGCATTGCATCAGGGGTCCAGATAATTTGGTTCGTGTTGTTGATGTGCAAACTCCAAAAGGAGTAATACGCTGTCCAATCCACAAACTCGCACTATTACCAATTGAAAATCCTTTCAAGGGGGGCGGGATGTTAGAGCGGTTAAAGTTAAATTGTTAATATTGTAGGATTCTGTAGAATTATTATAATTGATGTGTTATATGATTTATATATTATATTTTATTACATCTAATCTATTGTAAATCATATATTGTATAATTAAATTATTATAATTAATATATTATATAATTCATATATAATATTTTATATGGTTAATATATGGTTAATTAATTTATCTAACTAACCCTGTATAAGATGTGTAAGGACGGAAATTTTGACACCAAATTTCCGCCTACATAAAAAACTAGGCACTGAATTAACACAGAATTGAATTTCACAAAAATTGAAATTTTGGTTAATTTAATTTATTTACAATAATTTAAACTATATTATAATTTAATACTATAATTTAATACTATAATTTAATACTAAAATTTAATTTAATATAATTTATAATTTAAATTTAATTTTAATAAATTTATTTTATATAACAAAAAATTATTGTTTATTGACGAATTTAAAACGCGTGTTAAAATAACAAACTGTCAAAACAAAACACGACGAAAACAAAGTCAAAAGCGCAGCGAAATACGGCAAGATCAGAAGCACAGCGGCTACACGGCCAAGAATAAAAGCACAGCGGGTTACGCTGCAAAACACAGCAGGTAAACGAACGGAAGAATTTAAAATAAGCTAGACGAAAGCTCCGGCGTAGGAGTATTTAAGACAGCGAAATCATGAAGCAGGCGCGAGTCTATGAACATTCGTCGAGGTGGTATTACGCCGAAAAATTATAATAATAATTATATGTCTATGAAACATATATAAGAAATATATAAGTCCTGCGTTGGTGTTACGACAACGGCCATAATTATATGTCTATGAAACATATATTCGAAATATATAAGTCCTGCGTTGGTGTTACGACAACGGCCATAATTATATGTCTATGAAAACATATATAAGAAATATATAAGTCCTGCGTTGGTGTTACGACAACGGCCATAATTATATGTCTATGAAACATATATTCGAAATATATAAGTCCTGCGTTGGTGTTACGACAACGGCCATAATTATATGTCTATGAAAACATATATCAGAAATATATAAGTCCTGCGTTGGTGTTATGACAACGGCCATAATTATATGTCTATGAAACATATATTCGAAATATATAAGTCCTGCGTCGGTGTTACGACAACGGCCATAATTATATGTCTATGAAACATATATCAGAAATATATAAGTCCTGCGTTGGTGTTACGACAACGGCCATAATTATATGTCTATGAAACATATATGTATATACCTTCTTTTAATAATATATATCGAGTTGTACTATATCTTTCTTCTTCTAGGATAGATTTGTAATCAGTTTCCTTTCCAAATTTTAAATTGTAAAATTAAAGTAACTTACAGAGGTGTAAAAGTAGTCGGTCTTAGGCAACAGAGGAGGAAATTCGGGAAACCACTGCAAGTGAAGATCTCATCGACAAGTACGATAGGAAATACAACAGGAGCCTGAGCTAAAGAAGATGCACATTTCTTGTTCTTATTTTATTGAATAAAAATCACATTTTAATTGAAATAACTTTATCATACGTTGGAATAATTTTTTTGGAATATTGTCTTTCAAAGTAAATAAACTATAAATTTGTTTATAATCACATTGTAATGGAAATAACTTTATCATACGTTGGAATAATTTTTTGGAATATTGTCTTTCAAAGTAAATAAACTATAAATTTATTTATAATCACATTGTAATTGAAATAACTTTATCATACGTTGGAATAATTATTGGAATATTGTCTTTCAAAGTAAATAAACTGTACAATTCAATCTAGTAAACGAACGCTTCCTTTTCTTTCTGTTTTTTTTTAAAACACCTACGTCCTGCGAATATAAATTCATTGTAATGACTCTGGACGACGGCTGAGGATACCCCCAGCAAAAACTAAATATTTTTGAACGTCACCAAAAAGTGTCGTTACAGATGTAATCAAACCAACGGTTCTAAGTCTTGTTTTTATTGCCTTTTGTTTTTTGCGCTCGAGATGAGCAATTTTTTTTGTTATATTTTTTGGCTGCAAGTAAACTCCGTTGGTTTGATTCTGTCTCTTGTTTTTCGATCGCGAACGTGTCAACACACGGGTACACACAAAAAAGTGATTAAACAATCAATAACCGAAATTGTATAAATTCAATTGTATAAATTAAATAAAATCAAATAAAGATCACAAAACCCAATTATAAAAACGCTTATAATCTACAAAGATTATCCATGTTACAGCAGCAATATACTTTGAAATTGATGCCGACTTCAGCCTTTTTCAAAAAGTGTACGCCAACTTAGTTAAACAAAGTAATAAAAATCGAATTTTAAGAACTACTAAGATTCTAGAAGACATTACCGTATACGACAGGTTCACAGAAATTGTATTAAATATTTATTTAAAAGGGCTGCATCAGGGTATTGAAAAAGTACAAGCAGAGTTCAGGGAAAAATACTATTACCTTAAATACTTAGAAGAAATTTCTGCCATAATAAACAATTGTGAATTATGCAATGAATGCAAATTCGACGATATACCTACCAGAATGCCTTATAAAGTCACCCCTCCAACTTATTCCATACGTGAAAAATATGTTGTAGAGATATGGCATTAGGACAATATTTCCTACGTTACTTGTATAGATGTTTTTTTCCAAATATGCCATGGTAGAAAAAATAGAACATGGGAAATGGATAAAAAAAATTTTTACTGAAAATATTTAACACCATTGGTCCTCCAAAAATCATTAAGAAATTTTAGAAACGGCAGAAAGCATCGAAATACACAAACATCATACCACAACTTTACTCAACGGCGACAAAGGCAACGTGTCATCGTGCCTTTTTAGATACATCCCAAAAAACCGACAACCAGTCAACCTAACTACCTGTATGTAAAAATAAAAAAAAAACAACGCCAGACCAACCCCGTCACCATTTCTTACCTGTCACCCTCAAGGACAATAACCTTAGGATTTATTAATATTAAGTTTAGTATTAAAAATAACATGTTTATGGTATAAATAGTTTGTAAGATTGCTAGATGTTTTAATATTAGGAATTCTCCTGATGAAGGCAAAAGCGAATTTGCCGAAACACGTGTAGAGATACACAAAAAAACTTTCGAAATAAAAGTTAGTATATTTTAAAAAACAAAAATAACCGCATTTTATAATTTATAGTTTAATGTAAATACATTAAATGAATTTTATTTAATTCATTGATGAATAAATAACTTATATATTATAATTTATAAATAATTTATAGTTTAATGTAAATACATTACTTATATATAAACTAATGGAAAAATTTTATATTTATATTATATTCACGAGGACGTGAACGTTTTAAAGGTGGGAGGAGTAACATAATCGAATTAATCCGCCACTGCCTTTCTTTAGTAATTGTAAACTGTTTCTATAAATTTGGAGAAACGGTTTAATGGCATGACCAACTCATCGCCTTTAAATTGTTGCTATTTGTTTACTCTAAATTTATAGAAACGGTAAAGTAGCATGTTTTCTAAACTAATGCATTTTTTGTATAATGAAAATAAAAAAGATTATTATTTCAACAATCAAGTTGTAAAATCGTATTTAATTTAAAATACATTACTTGTGTGAAGACATCATTGTTTTAGGTTATATTTTGCATTCGTTTATATAACATGTACTGTATTGCTTGTATTTATGTAAACTTGCCATTTGTCGAACTATTCAGGCGTTGCGATTAAGAAATTCTGCAAGGCGTTAGTGAATTGTTAATATTTTTATTAGCTTTGTAGCTTTTTTTTCACTCCAGAAGGAACTGTTACTTTATTTACGTGTTTTAAGTATTCACATGTTCGAACGATATGCTCAAGTTGATTATGTCGTAGGTCAAACGCGTAGCCATCACAATACTCCGCCTCGAGAGAAGCTAAAGTGCGAAACGAAGTCTTGCTGGAACGGAGTTGTATAGCTTCCAAGGCACTATCACTTGAGTATGCATGCTCGTTTCAATCCATCTGTAGATATAAACCTCTCTTTCCCGTCAATTAATATCTTAAATATCTTTTTTGCTCTTTCTAATACATTCTTTATACTAAAAAAGAAAAATGTGGTTTAGGATTGTAAAATTGTTGTTCTACTGGTAATTTAACAATTTATTTTAAAAAAATACTATAAATAAATTGAGGTGTCTGTACAATCGAAATAACAGTCTAATGTGGATCTCAGAGAATTATTTGCACGTCGTGAAAATATCAGTATAATGAAATATTTTTTTTTTTTTTTAAAACATACATTTATTTATTGCATTTTCTCTTAAAATGAGACTAACAATAAGTTTTAAAATCTTATAACTAATTACATAATGTTACAAATTTTTATTTTAATTATACATTGTATAAAATAAAATAAAATAAAATAAGTAAACCTTATATCACGAACCTCACTTAGATTAATGGGTTAAATTTCATTAGAGTGAATGTTAGGTGGTTTCTTAAGAAAGTGGTTCAACTTTAACAGCTTACTAAAAAGAAAGGTGCGGTTTTTACTTCAAGCTGTTGAATATTAATTAACGGATGGACGGTCAGCTCTTTTTAGACGGGAAGTAATGGATAGAAGTGCGAGATTTCTTGCTAAGGGATTAACATGCTCTGTCAGCCTTTTATTGTATTTTTTTCTTATATTGTCAAATTCAGCTTTAACTAGGGGAATTTGTAGATCTCGGTGTATACTTTCATTCCTAATATACCATGGGGCACCAGTGATAATTCTTATTATTTTTGACTGAGCTCTTTGTATAATTTCAATATTTGAAGCACTAGCATTGCCAAATAGCTGGATACCATAAGTCCATATTGGTTTTATGATGCTGTTATACAAGAGTACTTTATACTCTAGGCACAGGGAAGATCTGCTGTTAATGAGCTAATGCAACTTAGAGGCTTGGAGCTTCATCTGAATTTTTTTGGCTTCAATCTGTTTGCGC